TCCACACCTCACCTCATCCCGGACACATCCGAGCAGGAGTCACCTCTGGGGAAAAAAGCGTCACCAAAGAGCTGCTTCTCCTTTTCCACCTGCTCTGAAAACACCCCCAATGGATCCAGCCTGGACACCCCGAGGAGGATCCAAAAGAAAAGCAGGAATCTCCAGGATGGCTGTTCTTCAAGGCTGTCCCACCATGTGACTCCCAGCAAACATTCCCCAAACCTCCCGACTAACGAGAGGCTGTTAGTGCCAGCTAATTAGCAGCCAGCTTGTGACTGGCTTCTGGAGCCTCTGGCTGCAGGGAAATTAAGTCAGAACAAAGGGAATGAAATCTCCTGAATGGAAAATTATTGGGGGTGGGAGCCCAGGACAGTTCCAGGAATAAACTTAATAGGCTTAGTAGTATTTAGGTGTAACTAAAGCAGGGCAGGGCTTCACATGCTGCTCGTTAATTTATTCCATCCTCTGGACTGAGGGGACAGAAAGGAGAGAAATCCATAGAGCAGAAGGAAAGCGGACAGGAAAATGTCTTCAAAGGAAAAATAAAATATTTCAGGCAACCTTAAAGACTTCCCCAAACAGGGAGAAGTGAAGGAAGATTGGAAGTGGGTTTGCAATGCGGGCACAGCTTGAGGTGACAAAAGGTACAGAGGTGGCTTTTGTCACCTTCTGCTCCTGCCCAGCCAAATCACAGAGACCTTTTCCATGCATATCATGGAAATGAAGAGGCTGACCGCTGCAATCCCTTCCCAAAGTGAGGATGTTGGAATTTCAGGCGGATTGCTTTCCTCTTTCTTTGTGCTTTTAAGCGACAATTTCAAGATACTCCTGTTCCAGATTTAGCTGATTTCCTAATAGCCGCCCTTGCTTTTTATCCATAATTAATAACCAGTCTCCTGGAAACCACTGGATTTTGTAAAGCATTGGCTCAGGACAATTCCTGGCCCAATTTTTAAAGAAATTGAAGTTCCCCATTCCCCCTGACCTCCAGGAGCTCCTGGTGCTCAAATATTCCTGGACAGATCCCTGTGAGCTTCCAGTCTGAATTTAAACCCAGAAATCTTTCCCCCCTTTTAGCCCACAGGAAACCTAAATAAAATATTTATTTTTTCCATGCTTTCTACCCTTGTTTAGACTCCCAAAAAATAAAGGATCCTGCAGATATTCCACAGGCAGCACCAGTGAACTCCAATCAGCATCTTCTTTTTATTCTAGATTCCCTCATTTCAGTGATCACATATCAAAGGAAAATCATCTCAGAAAATGTTTTTATCCCAAATTTTCTCCCACTGCAAAATCAAATCCTGAGGAATTCACCTTGAAGGGGAATGGGGTCATTTCCAGAGTGAAATTTTCCTTGCACAACTGTAAAATTTCAGCCCAATTATCCATTCATCAAATGGATGACACACCACCAGGGAAAGATGGAATTTGAAATTTAGAGAGGACGTTGAATATAGCAGAAATTATTTGGATAGGAAAAACAAAATACATGGATATCTAAATCAAATAAGAACGACAATAAATTTATTTTCTTTGGTCAGGGAGAGGTTAAGTGCAGTGGCCCGATGAGTTCACAGATTAAAGCCCTGGGAGGATCAGAGGATTGGCTGGAGATGAAGATTCACCCAAACTCGGGAGATTTCACATTTTTCCTGCCATTTAATGATTTTTCAGAAGGAATTCAGCAGCAAAAGGGGAGTTGGACCATCCCAGAAGTTTTCAATCCCAACTCACCAACCCAATTTAACACAGCTACATAATTTTATTTATTTTATTGTGATGTCAGCACATTTGGGGTTTTTTTTTCCAGTCCAAAATCCATTAGATTTAGTTGAAATTCCCAATTAAACCAGTTTAATCAGATTTCTTGGAGTTTACACTCACAAAACCCATCAGGTTCTCACTGTAAGAGATTTTGGTCAAAATAAATTGGAGGGAAAGAGTCAATTAAATAATTAAAAGTGGCTCTGCAGCTCCTCTAAACCTTCAGGATATGGAAGATTTCTCTGCTTTTAGGAATGAAGGAAAATTCAGGTTTTTAAAGGAGATTTGCCTCCCTGGAATCTTGGATAAAGGCAATTTTAGGGATAATGGATATTTAGAAGTTAGGACTTGTCTTTATTTCGTTTTTATTGGTGTGAGAGTTTAATAGAGGTAAATCTCAAATTAAAATCATTTTTTTTATCTCTTGTCAGATCAGTGGTCAGGGAAAAGCCTCAGGATTTCCACAAGGATCATTCATTCTGATACCCACACATGGAATTGGGCAGCCCTCCTTAGTAATCCTAGCTGGGAGAATAAAATAAAATAAAAATAAAATAAAAATCAGAATAAAATAAAATATTAGAATAAAATAAAATAAAATAAAATAAAATAAAATAAAATAAAATAAAATAAAATAAAATATTAGAATAAAATAAAGTAAAATATTAGAATAAAACAAAACAAAATAAAATACATATAAAATAAAATACATCATGGAAAGCTCTTCCAGGTTATCCTGAAGACTTTCAGACCAGACAGATTCACCTGAGGTACCTATGAGGAAAGCTGGGTGGGAAAGGACAGCATTCCAATGAAAAATCAGAGTTGAATGGGAAGTTTGAAGACAATTTTCCCATTTTTCCACGTGCTTTAATCCACATTTCAACCTCTGTTCATGTCTGATTATTTCCTTATTTTCCTGATTATTTCCTGATTGAAAATACAGAATTTCTCTCTGTCCTGAACCAAACAGGGACAGCCTGAGGAGCCGAAATTTCCCGACAGGTTGTCCCCGTGCATTGTAATAAATATTCCACATCCCATTTTCCCTTTTCCCTCTCCAGAGGCAGCAAAGCAGCCCCAGCTCAGGAATGTCATTAGAGAGGAGCTTTAAAATAAAGCAGGGCACACAAAAATGTGATGACTTGTCAAAAGCGCAGCCTGCAAGGTGTTTAAGGCATGAATTTCCTCCTAATGAAGCCTCGCCGAGGGAATATTGGATTCAGACCGGAGCGGGAGCGATGATGTGGCACAAATTTATGGCTGTCCCCCCGTAATTCCCAGGAAAGGGGGCAGGAAAAGAGCCCCACATGGAAGGGCTCATAAAATAACCCCCAGGCAAGCCTTGCCTTGGCTCTGAGCCACGGCTGCCAGGGGGTTCAGAATTTTGGGATGCAGCACGGATCAGCGCGAGCGCGGATTGGATGTGGATTTACCCTCGGGATGGGAAATCTTTCAGGATTCCTTGGGTTGAGGAATTGCAGGGGTTTAACCGGCATGAGCTGTGTTGGAAAGGAGCTGGGCATGCCCAGCCTGGAGAAGAGAAAATTCCAGGGAGAGCTCAGAGCTTCTTCCAGGGTCTGAAGGGGCTCCAGGAGAGCTGGAGAGGGACTGGGGACAAGGGGTGGAGGGACAGGACACAGGGAATGGCTCCCACTGCCAGAGGGCAGGGACGGATGGGAGATTGGAAATTGGGAATTACCGGCTGGGATGGAATTCCCAGAGCAACTGTGGCTGCCCCTGGATCCCTGGAAGTGTCCAAGACCAGGTTGGAGCAGCCTGGGACAGTGGGAATTCCCTGCCCATGGCATGGAACTCGGTGACCTGCAGAGGTCCCTTCCATCATTCCATGATTCCATGATTGAGTTGCCACGAGAGGGGCACAGACCCTTTTCTCCCTTGTTTTTCTCCCATCCTTCTGCCAAAACCCAACTCCCCATCCCTGGCCAGACCAGGAAAGCCAAATTCCAATGTGAGGGAATCACTGTTTTGTGCCAAATTTCCTTCATTTCAGGCAGGCCCCAGTGGGATTTACAGAGCAGGAGAAAAGTTGCATTTATGGAACGGCAATGGGAGAAAGTTTTGCTTTGGCAAACCCTAAAAAACCAAATTGCTGTCGGAGGCAGCACCATCATGGGATTATCACATCCCAGAATCCTTTAAAAAGGAAAACCCCTTAAATCCACAGAGTCCAACTGCTCAAATCCACCACTAAACCACATCCCTGAGTTCCACATCCACAGGTCTTTTAAAACCCTCCAACCTGCCCTTCCAGGAGGACAGAGTCACAGGCGTGCAGCAGAATTCCAAAAATAAAATCCAATATTCTCCATCGGTCACTTCTGGAACTGAGAGCAAGTCAGGGCATGGGACGATTTGGGAAAATAACTTGGATTTTGCAATGTTCAGGCAGCTCTTTCCTCCCTGCAGCCTCTCCAAATCCAAATTCATGTGAGGTCAGAGCTGGGCCGAGTGCTGATAAGGATGTGAGAGGACTTGTTCGAGCAGTTGGAGCTCCGGGATTGGTTTTTTTTGGGATGAGTTTTCCAACTGGCCGCGTTTCAGCGCAGGAAGCGGAATGTACACGTTGGATCCCGTTCAGCAGCACTTGGCGTCCGCAGAGCTCAAAAGGGACAACTTTGACCCTGGCATGCTCCTAGGGACTCCAAAACCTGTTTCTTTCACTACTAAATAACATTTTCTCCCTGTTTTTTCCCCATTTTTTCCCATTCTTTAAGGAGGAAAAATTGTTTCGTGGTGCCTGGAATTGTGGGATCATCCTGGGAGATGAAGGTCATGGAGAAAGGAGATTTTTATCCCTATTTTATCCAGAGGAATTCTGAGGCCCAGAGAGGTCACACAGCAGGTCACTGGGATTAAAATCCACATCTCTTGATTCCCAGCCCAAAATTTAATTTGGAGTTAAATTTGACTTGACAGGATCCTTGTAAGCCTGGAATTTTACAGGCTATAAAAGCAAAATGATCAATTCTGACTCAAGCACCTTCCTAACTTCAACAAATAAATTAAAAAATGAAGGAAAAGGGAAAAAAAAAAGGTGTAAATTCAGTATTCAGTTCACAGGTTGATCTCAATCCAAAGAGATTAAAAAAAAGGTGGAGAAAAATTCCAAACCTACAGAACGTTTTTGCCCAGAATTCAGGCTTGTATCTCCCAAACTCCCCAGTCCTTTGGGATCTTTCCCAGATAATTTGAAGCAGCTGACATTTCCCCTCCATGAAAGAATAAACATTTAATTTGCACTGCCGAGCTGGGAGGAAGAATTCTAATCCTGTTTGCTCTGGCTCAGCCAAAATCCAGGGAATGGGAGCTCTTCCCTAATTACTGCTCCACACGGAGCAAATAATTCAATTAGGGATCCCAATGGGGAGGATCGGGCTGAAACAATCCAAACCCAAGGTTTAGAAAATGGGATTTAAGTCCCATCCAGTCTCCTGGGTCAGCAGTTCCCAGGTGGGAATGGGCCAGAGGTGTCAGAAGGTTGGATCCAAGAGGGTTTGGGATTGATGGCTTCCATAGGGATGAGTTGGTGGCACTTCCCAGGTGGATTCTTGGTTGTCCAAATCATTCCTGCTCTTTTGGAGATGCTTTTTCCTGTGGAAAGCCAAGGGTTAAAAGGGTTTCAGAGGAAAGGAAAATCTTTCCTAGTCAGAGGTGGCTCCTATGGAAGAGCCCAGCAGGAAAGATTCCAGCCAAATCCAAAAAATTCATTATTTTTTGCCTTCTCGTTACATTTTAGGTCCCTTTTCTGTCACTCTGACCCTTATTTTATATCATTATTTTCCCCTCTAACAGACCCATATTTTTTTATCATTATTTTTCCCTCTAACACATTTTTGGGATCAATTAGAAGTGGGGTGTAGCAAAACTGCTCAAAGGTAGAAAAAAAAATGGCATGGGATCATGGACAGAAGGAAAGAAAAATCATTCTGGAAGCAAAAATATGGAAGGAAAATTAGAGAGATTTCTTAAATATGTGAGAGATTTTTCCAAAGATCATATGCACGTGGGATATTTCTTCCAAGGGAATGACAAAAAAAAACTGGGACAGGATTTCTTTGTGCTGCTGAAGATACAGAAATGGAGTCAGGAGGGAACAAATTATGCAGACATGGAAATTAGGGATGAATCCAAGGAATCTTACTTTAGAAATCCCTTGATGGCCTGAAAAGGGAGCCCAGGGTGAACAAGCTCACCTGCAGGGGTTTAAAGAGAATTTTCCAGAGATCTGACAGGAATATTATCTCTGAGAGAGCTTTCCAGTGGCACCTGGAACACGGTGGATGGATTTGTCACTTTGGAAAAAGCTTGGAGCCTTTGTTATTAGGGATTTTAATTCCACAGCTCTTCCCTAAATGGAAATTTCTGTATTTGATGCTGCACTTGGATTATCATGGAATTATGGATTATAATCTTTGAAACCTCTCAGGTGGTTTCCTGAAGAATATTCCTGTGGGCAGAGGCAACTCCTCGAAATTCAGCAGGAATATTCTCTATACAAAGCAGGATATTTCCTCCAAATGCACAATTCCCACCTGGAGCAAGGATGGAAAATCAAACAGGATCTGTGCTCCAAAGAGGTCTCCAGTGCGTTGTCACCACCTGGAATGTCACATCTGCCCCACGTCCCCGTGATGTCACTGTCCCCATGGCAGCAAAGTGATGTCACCATGGGAGGAGGGTGGCTGGAATCAGGAATGGGAGCAGCATTTTTTTCTTTGGGAAAAGCAATCAAAGGGAAAAGAGGAGTGAAAACAACGGATTATTTTAAATGCAGGTGAAACCGGTGGGAAGAAATGCTGATGTGTGACTCCAGTTCAGAAGGCTGAATGGTTTAATTATTATAACTATACTATAATACATTAATACACTATTTAAAGGAGATACTAAAACTACAAATCTACTTTTCTAACTACCAAATCTAACAACTTGTGACCCTCTCTCCAGAGTCCACAGGTGGATTGGATTGGATTGGATTGGGTTGGATTGGATTGGATTGGATTGGATTGGATTGGATTGGATTGGATTGGATTGGATTGGATTGGATTGGATTGGATTGGATTGGATTGGATTGGATTGGATTGGATTGGATTGGATTGGATTGGATTGGATTGGATTGGATTGGATTGGATTGGATTGGATTGGATTGGATTGGATTGGATTGGATTGGATTGGATTGGGTTGTATTGCATTGGATTGGCCACCAGGCCCAAACAATCCTCACCAGAATCCAACCAAGCACTCACCCCAGGGAAACAATTCTCCAAACACATTCCACATGGGAAAAACAAGGAGCAGAAATACAAATTGTTTTCTCTTTCTTCCCTCTGTGCTCCTCTATGGAAAAATCCTGAGAAAGAGAAGAATGTGCCGGATCAGCAGGGAAATGAAGTCCCTGTGCTGGGTGACTGTCATGGGAATTGCAAGTCCCAGCTGAAGGGACATCTTGGAATTTCTGGGAAAATTATATCTGGTGAAGATAGAGAAAGATAAAGGAAGAGTTAGAGAAGATGGTTGAAATCATCACATTTTTCCAGGCAGGATCCTAAAGCCACAGGATGGATTGGGTTGGAACAGACTTTAAAACCCATCCAGTCCCACTCTGCCATGGCAGAGACGTCTTCCACCATCCCAGACTGCTCCAAACCCTGTCCAGCCTAGACATGGGCACTTCCAGGGATCCAGGGGCATCCAAAAAAATCTTAATTATCCCATGGATTGCTCAAAGGATTTCCAAACATCTGTTTCCCTCCATACCAGATTCCCTTAGCACAAAAATCTCAGCTTGACTTTAACATCACCAGTAATCTTGAAGTTAAAACTAAGTTCCACCTAAACTAAGGGAGTGATTTTATTTCCAAGTGAAGCCAGCTGTTGGTTTTAATTAGGTGTTTAAATATTAATTAAAGCAAAAATTTTGAATGCTCAAGATCTAAAACCCCTCAAAAATTATTTCAGATTTTCCCTGTTCCTTCAGTCTAAATCTACACCCAACATATTTCCTGGAGGTTCTATATAAACTTACAAATGTATCAATTTATATTTTATAAAAATCGTATTTTAATTATATTAATTTATATTTCTGTTTTACAGAAAAAAAATTTATTTATATATCAAAAAGCAAATTCTTTACTGATCCTTCTCGAAAAAGGTTACAAAAAATGCAATATAAAAACAAAGATCTCAATATAAAATTTGGAATTTCCAGACCACAAAATCCAAGGGATGCTACTGCAGGAATTGGCCAGGAAGTGATGGTCAGAAGATGTTTTCTATAAGTTATGTAAGGAGAAATTTGGGCCCATTTCCAGAAAAATCAGAGCTGTCCATCAACTGTCATCCTATCTTTAAACCCTTCCCAAATCATGACAAAAATCCTATTCCACTGCCTGATTTTAATTGTTATCCAGGTTAATCCACCTTCCCGAAGGAAATGCAGCTTCCGGGTGCTCAGGATGCAAATCACCTCTGTTCTTTGCTGTATTTATTCCCAACCCTTTGCAAAGTTTGGGAATGGAGCCCTGGAACGTGTAAATGTGGGATTGAGCTCCCTTCATTTCCTCTGTGCTAATTAATTTACAAATTTACACAGATAAATCTGGGTCCCTCTGGTGAAGAGTCAGGAGAAGGCCCAATTAGTCCAGAAGTCCACATATAGGGAAAATTCAGGGATTTAGGGTGACCTGGACAATTATTTGGGATTCACTGGCTGTACTAATTAGGAGTTTAATTCCATTGCATGGATAGAGGGAACAAGTGTGGGAAAACTGTCCCAGATGGGCACGGAGAGGACAGGAAAAGGAGTTGTGACCACATGGATCAGCAGCTGGAACCCAGGACACCTCCAGTGTGTCCATGGAGATCCCACGGATCTGCAAGCTCTTCATTTGGGAAAAAAGATCCAAAGTGCATCCATGGTGAAACATTGATGAAAAATTAAACCCTACAATTCTAATAAAGATTCGTAGGGAATGGGTATGTTTATTTAAAACGCTGTTTATTAATGGACATGTGTACTTCTGAGAATTTTTGATCTTTTTTTATTACTTTTACTAGTTTTTATATGTATAGAATTTTACAATAGGGTAATGTATATTTATTTTGTTGATTTTGCATTATATTTACAGCTAGTTACACTTGTACTTAGTTTTTGTCAGAAAGTACAGAAAGAATTCTCTACTTATTCTGCCCTGTCTGTTTTAAAGTTTGAAGAGTCTTATCTCTTATCTTTTAGTGTAGAAATTTGCAATTTTTTTTTCTTTAGTTAAGGTAGTTTTGCTAATGTTGTAGTTACTAAACTAAACAGCATATTTAGTAAGTTCAAAGTAGTACATCTTATTTAAATCTAAATAGATTTCTACCCTGTTAAATTTTTACTCTGTGTCATTGGAGAGCTCTGGAGTGTCCACAGGACCTCCAGCTCCAGAGGGATGTGTTCCCTGGGAACCCTCCTGGGTTTTGGCACCTCCAGTGACCTTTGGCAGTGATTCCTGCCCAGTTTGGATTTCCAGCACATCCCAGATGGTTCCTGTTGTCCGTTCCTTGCTCAAGTCACCCAAGGAGGCACTGAAAGAGGTGAGGAATGGAATTCCAGCTCTTAACCGGTGTCAGAATCTGTGGGTATTGGTGATTCCGAGATTGTAGAAAGTCTCTGTCTGTCAGCCCCACTGCCAAAGAAGAGCCATAATTCGTCTGTGCTGTTTCAAGGTTGTTTATTCTGTTTATCTCTAACATGTTCTGCTGCCCTGCCGCAGCTCTGTCCTGCAGGGCAGCGTGTGGGGCTCTGCCCTCAGTGGGATGGTACAAACATTAAATACCACAAACTACCTGTGCTGGATTTACAATAACGTGCCAATATCTGTCACCTACGTTGGACAGTGTGTCCCCAGCCTGAACCAACAGAAAAATGCCAACACCACAGTGAAACATGGAGGGCATGAAGAAGGAGAAAAAGGACAAGGCACACCCAATTTCCTCCATCTTGTCCCCTTTGGACCCCTCATCTAGAATCCTAAAATTTTACTTTTGCACCCGTGCCACACTTAATTATTACTGATATCAAACACTCAGAGCTGGTAATTCACCCTGTAAGATTGAAAACTCTTTTCCATGGACAGAGATCACAGCCAGTGTCTCTGGGGGCTCTGTCCAGGGGGGTTCCTGACCCCTGCCAGGGTCCCAGGGCAGCCAGAGGGACGCTCTGGATTCCCACACTCCAGCTCCAGAGGGATGTGTTCCCTGGGAACTCTCCTGGGTTTTGGCACCTCCAGTGACCTTTGGCAGTAATTCCTGCCCAGTTTGGACTTCCAGCACATGCCAGACGGTTCCTGTTGTCCGTTCCTTGCTCGAGTCACCCAAAGAGGCACTGAAAGAGAGGCGAGGAATGGAATTCCAGCTCTTAACCAGGGCTATGGATCCATCCATCTCTGAGCTCTCCTGGGTCACATCCCGGGATTTTAGGCCTGCCCGTTCCCCTCAAAGCTTTCCCACCCCATGCAGGGCACTTTGAACTCATTCCAGTCCCTCCAGAAGGAGACAGCGTTTCCTGTTTCCAAAGCCAGCCAGCTCCTTAATCCTTTTATCCAGCCCCAGCTCTGCCAGCTTGTCCTGGCGTTCCTCTCTGACCTCGCCTCGATTCCTCCTTCCGCAGGCTCCGTTCCCACTCCCTGCTGGAGGAATCTGCTTTAGGTGGAATTTTGGGGTTTTTTAGGGAGAGAAACCCCAGAGCAAATGGGCTTAAACACAATTCCAGGTCAACATTTTCCATTCTCCATACGGCTGTGACCCGGAACAAGTCGCTGAAGATCTCCCATCCAAAAAAAAAAGGGATAAAAGCACTTCCTTACTTCAGACCGGGAATGGTTTAATTCCTTCATATTTCCAAAGTGCCTTGAGTTCCTGAAATGGAGAATTGGCTTAAATTTTCTCAGGGAAGTAATTCTGAGTGCACAATTTGAGATTAAATTGCTCCTCCCTGTGCTCAGTTGATGCCTTCACCACCTGGAATTTTCAGGGAATCTCCAGTAACCTGATTGTGGTTTTTACATTAAATATGGAAAATTAATTTTGCCACAGAAAGGATGGACTTTGAAAAATTCCAAATGATTCTGTTTTAAGCACTTCCTGCAGATCACTGAGGTGCTCCCTGATTTTGTGTTTTAAGATCCAAGGCACAGACAGGAACTGTTATTTTGTACCAGAAGAAAATCCAATTTTCACTGATTTAACCACAGATTTTAACTTTTTTTGATGAAATAATAATTTTTTTTCTACATATCTCTGCCAAAAACTGTAAATATCATCATTTTATTCCAGACAAATAGGATTCCTGATATTTCCCCCTGTGTTCACATTGTCCATCTACAGGCAGATCCTGCAGTTTACCAGGAGGATAAACCCAATGGCACAGAATTAAATTAATTTCCATATTCAGCTTTAATTTAATCCCTGATTTTTTTCAATCCAGGAGTCTTAACATCTAAAATAATTTCTCCATCTTCCAATGCCTTTCCAAAATGATGACCCAGCCCAGAGAAGGGTTTTTAGAGGATTTTGTGGATACTGAGGGAAATGCTCTGCTCTGAACTCTCAAATTATCCTATTAACAGCTGCAATGGCTGC